GTGTGTGTGTGTGTGTGTGTATGTATTTATTTATTTTTAGCTCCCACCAATAAGTGAGAACATGTGGTATTTCTCTTTCTGTGCCTGACTTGTTTCACTTAATATAATTCTCTCTAGGTCCATCCATGTCATTGCAAATGGCAGTATTTCATTCTTTTTTATAGCTGAGTAGTATTCCATTGTGTAGATATACCACATTTTCTGAATCCGCTCACCTGATGATAGACATTTGGGCTGGTTTCAACTCTTAGCTATTGTAAAGAGTGCTGCGATGAACACTGGAGAACAGGTACACCTTTGACTTGATGATTTCCATTGCTCTGGGTATATTCCCAGCAGTGGGATAGCTGGGTTATATGGTAGATCTATCTGTAATTGTTTGAAGAAGTTCCAAACCATTTTCAATAGAGGCTGCACCATTTTGCAGTCCCACCAACAATGTATGAGAGTTCCTTTTCCTCCGCAACCTCGCCAGCATTTATCATTCACAGTCATTTGGATATTAGCCATCCTAACTGGGGTGAGATGGTATCTCAGTGTGGTTTTCATTTGCATTTCCTGAATGCTGAGTGATGTTGAGCATTTTTTCATATGTCTGTTGGCCATTCAGACTGGGTGATTTCTAAGTCTAAATCTCATTGAATTAAGGGGTTGAGGATGGTGGAGAGAGGAAGGTGAGGTTCTAAGCTAGTCAGAGAATAGACGTGTTCCCCCACCTGCTCAGGCCTTTGAGGCTCAGAGAAGATCAGGTCTCTCTTCTTTTCCCCCTCCTTCTCTCCTCTCTTCCCTCTCCTCCCCTTTCTTCTCCTCTTTCCTTTCTCTCCTGCCCTCCTGTCCCCTGTCCTCTTCTCTCCTCCCTTCTCTTCCTCTTTTCCTTTCTACAAATGTTATTTTAGGCAGTCTTGGGTTTGGAATCAGGAAGACCTGTGTCCAATTATGGCTCTGTCAGCATGAGCTGGGCATCCCTGGACAAAGAACTTTGGCTTGTAGCCCCAGCATGCTCATCTGTAAAATGGGAGAGTGATACCTCCTCTGGCGTGCTGGCAGTTCACATGACTTACCCCACGGAAAGCACTTGGCCCAGGGCCATGCACACAGTGGACACTTCCGCTATTTCTTTAGTCTGGAGGCTCAGGGCCAGGCTCTGGAGCCAGGCGGCCTGGTTGGAATCCCAGCTCTGCTGTCTACCAGCTGTGTGGTCTTGGGCAATTGACTTAACCTTCCTGTGGCCCAATTTCCTTACTGGTAAAATGAGGGTAGTAATAGTACGTACTTCCTCAGGTGGCCATGAGGACTAAGTACCAAGTGCCTTACACACTGCCTGGCTGTCAGCTATTTTGATTATTCCACGGGTGATGGTGCTAAAACAGCTGATGAACCAGGCACTGTACTTAGTGCTGGGATAGGGTGGGGAACAAAATACAGTCCCTTCCCCAAGGAGTTCCCAGTGCAAGGGGGACAGATATCCTGACCAGCAAGTTCAACACTGCATCACCATGGCGGGCTGGGGCCACAGGGAGCCAGAGCAGCCCCTTGAGGGTCAGGGGAAGCCTCTCCGGGAGGTAGCCTCCAAACTAAGACCTGAAGAGGTGGTCATTGGGCCACAAACAGGGACAGGAACAGCATCCTAGTGGGAAGAACAGCATGCACAAAGGCCTGAGGTGAGAGGCAGCCCAGGGGAGGGGATCACCGGCAGCCAGCCTGTCAGTCTGGAGCGCCTGAGCCCCTTGCAGGGAGCAGACGCGCTTCCCCAGCAGCCCGGGGCCTGCATGTGCTCCCGGTTTGCGCTCAGACAGTGGGCACGGCTCCCAGCTGTGCTAGGCCGCCAGAGGGGCGGGTGGTGCCCAGCGGGCCTCGCTGCCACCCACAAGCCCAGTCCCCAGCTGACAGAGGAAGCCTCCCCTGGCGGCCCCTACTCCATGCAGCTGGCCGCCCCCGCCCTCGGTCAGCCCAGTTTCCTGCCCCTCCCTCCTTCACTCCTCCCTCCAGCTGTTTCTCTGGCTGAGTTCTGTCCTGTCCCATTCAGGGCAGTAAGCAGGGAGCTCAGGACAGAGTGGGTGCCCCTGGGAAGACTGCTGGGGGATGAGGGGGTTGCAGGGGGCTGTGCTCAGGGTGGTTCTAAGGGGATTTTAAGCGAATCAATGAAATTGCTTTCCAGGCGAACAGTCACAGACAGAGGAACGATGTGATTGGGAGGAAGAAGCTGGGAGCACAGGTCTCCTGAACAGCCTCCACTGGCCTGCAGCCACGGGGAACCCTCCGGAAGACCTTCTGGGCAGAGACCAGCGAGAAGGTATCATGCCTGGCTTTGATGTTTTCCAAGGAGCCAGGGAAAGGCAACGCTAGTAGAGAGAAAAGTTTAGTTCTTCTTGTAATTTAATGTTTGTTAAAAGGAAAAGAGTTTCATGATTATTTTTGTATTTCAAAAGTAATGCATGTTAATTGTAAAAAAAATAGCAAGGACACACATATCAGCAGATAAATGTGGATACCCACATCTAGTGTGTCCTTAACCATGGATGGTGAACTTCCTTTTATAGCATCTGGCTGCATGGAAAGAAGTCTTGAGATTTATTTAACCCTTTCCTGTTGTATTTACTTCCACTTTTCCCCCCATTATTATCAACAGTGCTGCAATGAACGCTTTGTCTTAGTATGTCATCTTCGTGCGTTGGTCCTATAGATGTCTTTCCAGGGATGAAATTGCTGGGTCGAAGGTTTGCCTGTTTTTAAGATGTTTGAGCCTTTGGCCACATTGCCCCCTGAAAGCGGTGCCAGCTTGCACTCTCTCCAACATTATATTGGGGTGTGATATTCTCACAGCCTCACTCATGCTGTTAATACCTGTCTCTTAAACCTTCCCTGCTGAGAAGTTGAAAATATTATCTAGATGCTCAATTTGCATTTCTTTATCAATGTTGATTATCTTCAAGCTTATTCTTCACTTTTCTTTCATGACTATCCTGTTTAAGTCTGTTTCCATTGTATTTTTTCTTGTTGGCATGTTTATCTTTTTCTTATTGATATTTAAGAGTTCTTTGTGTATGAAGGGTATGAAACCTTTGCCAGTGCTCTCTGTTGAAAATATTTCACCCTCCTCCACCTCTGCTTTCAGGATAGTGCATTTTAAATGGGTGAGCCAAAAAAAAAAAAAAAAAAACCAAAAACCAAAAAAAACAAAAAAAACAAACAAAACCCCAAACCTTAGCTTTTGGCAAAATTACAAACAAACAACACATCACAATGATGTTACTTGATAAAGTCTGATCACTCAGATCTGTAGCATTCAGAGGCTAGGTCACTGGTCTGAGGTCACGCAGCGAGGAAGTGGCCACGTCCTGAGTCTGCCTTCTCTTTCCTGAAGGAAAGCCCCCAGCTTCCCTTTTCACACCTCCTACCTCCTTTTCAAGACCGATCTTCTCTGCAGTTCTTGCTGTCTCTCCTGCCCCCTCCGAACTAGCTTGAAGGAAAGCAGTATTAATCTAAACCAGTGATCCTCAGATGGTGGGGTGTCAGGCACCTGGGAGGTCCATGGGAAGAATTATCTTTTGGTGCACAGGGGCCTTCTCTGGGCTCCCCCAAACTTCAGGGAATAGATAAACAACTTTGGGCAAGTCATTCTCTCTCTGGCTTGACCCCTTCTGAGTAGTTTTCCACCCCCATTGAGTCAAGTTCTGTCCTCTAGGCTCGTCCAGGGCCTTTACAGTCCTCTGCACAAGAACTGCATATATTAGGTTCATTGAATAGTGTTCATTGTGTAAACAAAGTAACCAGGCCTCAGTTTCACCACTGTAAAATAGGGTGGTGGGAGTTGGACTAAAATCCCATCTCTTAGATGTTTACCTGATAACTCCTCTCAGTTTGCAAACCACTTTATGAAGACAGTTTTCTTGAATCCTCACCATGGCTGTATGATAAAGATACTATTAACATGCCTATTTTACAGATTGAAAAACTAAGGCCTGTAGAGGGGTTTTGATGCTAGACCTCCACAAGAGGCAATGAAGCATTGTGGCTGTGGGGGTGGGTTGGAATTGGTCTGCCACCTGCCAACTACGTGACGTGGAATAAGTTATGCCTTATCTTTGTGCCTCAATTTTTTAAATCTATAAAATGGGAATAGGAATAGTAACTACCTCTCATAGAATTATTACAAAGATTAAATGAAATCATAAATGTAAAGCACTTACCAGAGGATTTGTCAGATAGAAAGGGGTCTATAAACATTAGCTATTATTCTCATGATCACTTCTATACCACCATGCCATCTATACCTGTAACACCGAACTGAGCCAAATAGACATTATTGATTTCTTTACTAGTGAATTATTAGTGCTCAGATTCCCACTGATGTACAGAAAATCAAAAGCTTATTTCATTCTCTTTGAGCTACATTGCACTGGTGTGGTCATTACCGCCAGTCGCAAGGCTATGAAGTAGACAGACTCCGAGCTTCTCACAGTGCAATTTTTGGGCCCACTTGCACCACAATAATCATGATTGTTTCTTAAAGCTTCAGTGTCTGGAATCAGACTCTCTGAGAGTGAGGCTTGGGTGTCTGCATGTTGAACCAGCTCCCTAGGTGATCTGTATGTACCCCCAAACTTGAGAACCACCAGTCTGGGGTACGTGAAGGTCTTTTATTTTTTTTCCCCTTTGTTCAGTTTTCTGGTATATATATATATATATTTTGGCTGCTCATTGAGGTTTCTTTTTTCCTTTCTAAGCAAATATCCATGTACTTCTGTGAATCCCCATGTTCTGTGTCAGCATTTGAGGCCAAGAGACTTGGCAGAGAAGTGAGACTTTGTCCAACGGTACCACAGAGCGTCAGATCATGTTAGCAGCCTCCCAGTGTGGGGGCTTTGAAATTATTTCAAGACATAGAATCCTTACCTCAAACGAAAGTAGATGGGAACATGTCATTTGAAAACAGATAAAAGTGGTGTTATTCTCGTTGAAACAGAGGTGAAGGGCTCTAGGCCGCCGCAGCTCACTAGACCTTACTCTTCTTGCTGATGAGCCTCTAAGAATCCTCGTAGCTCCACAGAGTGGGTTGAAAACTGTGAATCTACTCCAAGGAACTAAGAGAGAAAGTTCTAGGCCTTTGTTGAACTTGTTGTGTGACCTTAGGCAGGGTACTCCCACTCTCTGGCCATATTCGCATCATATGTAAACAAGGAGGTTGAAAGTTGTATTAGTTAGGGCAACAGCTGCAGTAACAAATAGGCCCCCAAATGTGTAATGGCTCACACAGAACAGATATTTATTATAAAGCAGTTATTTCTGAATGGAAGGTAGTCCTTTTCCTTTCAGTGATTCAGTGACCTGTCTTGGGTATCATCTTTGTCTGCCGCCGGCCAAAGGCAGAGATGAAAGAAAGTACGAAAGTGGTGCTTTTGCTTCTGAACTGCCTTGACCTGGAGGAAGCACCCATTGCTTCTGCTCATGCAGGAGAACTAGTAAGTGGCCTTGGCCTGGAGGTAGCACATGTCACTTCCACTCACACGTGAGAACTAGTCACCTGGCCAGTCTAGTGCAGAGGAGTCTGGGACATGGAGTTTTTGGCATGGGCAGCTCTTTCCCAGCTATGGCTGTGTACTGTGGAAGGGGAGAGTGGATTTTTGTGGGCAGCCAGCTGTCTGTGCCACAAAGATGGTGCCCTCTTGGGCCTCTCCCATTCTTTGGTTCTCAGTCTAAATTTTCACTCGCCAGTCTTAAAGTTAACATGGTGATGTTGGATTCACACAACTTTTCTGACCTCAAGGTAATTCCCAAATATACCGAGTAAACTCCCAGATTCCAGGTCTCTAAACACAGATTTCTTTAGAACGTAGGCAACTGCCATTCCCTTTCCCTCCTGGAAAAGGGAAATAAGAATAATTTTATTGAGCACATCACATTTGTTGAACTGAAGATTTCCATATTCATTATCATTTCATTGAATCCCCCTACAACCCTACATGGAGAGACTTCAGGATTATCATCCCTGTTTTACAGATGAGAAAAGTGAGGCTTAGAGAGATAAAGAGAATTAATTGCTCAAGGTCCTGCAGCTTGTACCCCAAAATACTGGTATTTGAACTCAGAAAATTCTACTCCTGTCCTGAGGTCCCATTGCATGATGGAATGTTCGTGTGTGTGTGTGTGTGTGTGTGTGAGAGAGAGAGAGAGAGAGAGAGAGAGAGAGAGAGGGTAGGGATTGGGATTTTTCTTGGGATGGACTCCCCCAGGGCTGGGCTATAAGGGGAGCAGAGCTCAGGAATCATTGTCCAACTTTCCAGAATGGGCCACGGTTGCTGATTACAAGACAGCGGGGTGGTTGTTCAGGCCTGGGGAAGCCCAGTGTGACTAAATATTACAGCCACTGGCCATGAAAAAGAGAAGAGGTAGCGTGTGAGGGTGTCTTGTGGGCCTGGGTGACTCTGAGGCCTCAACGGAGCCAGACACAGGGTGGGTGCTTGGGAGCAATTTCCTGTGTGATTCAACCCACGGAGGGGTGAAATCTGCAGCAATGTGAGAAATTAAGATGAATCAGGCCCAGGTTGTATCCTGGAGGCCATCAGGGGAGGGGAGACAAACTTGTAACATATACTTTTATTCATTCACTCAACAAACATTTATTAGTACCTGCTACATGTCAGGCACTCCACAAGGGAAGAACGACGGAGAGGACAGAATTCCTGCCCTCGTGGAATTTTGGAAGGGCCGTGGGATAGTTAGATTTGTCCCCATCTTTGAGATAAGGAAAGTGAGGCCCTGATTGGGTGAGTGACATTCCCAAGGTCACTTGGTGGGATTAGGACTTAGACTCCTGGTTCCCAGACCAGGCCTCTGTCTATGCCCTCCACTGAGGGGGAGGCCCTCAGCCATGCCTGGAATGCAGAGAGAGGGGCCTGTCAGTGGCAGCCACTTTAAGCTGCTTCTGGACCCAGGACATGCTGGTTTCTGGCAATATTAGGAAACCAGTTAATTTATTTCTCTCTTTTGGAACCTTTACATTTTTGCAGCAATGGACACACATGTGATTGAAAAAGAGCAGAATTTCTTGTGCTGCTAGATAGAACTGAGAGGCAGTAATTCTCCATGGTGCTATCAAAGAAAGGAATGTTAATATCTGGGTGGCATCGTCTGGCAGCATAAAGTGGTGATACTCAGGGATCCCAGCTCTGCCCCCAACCTCCTGATACCCTCAGCTTCCTCATCCAAGCAGTGGGGATGCTAGGATACTTGCTTGGCAGGGTTGTGGTGGGATTAAATCAGATAATGTACAGAAAGCACTGTGTGTGGCAC